TAATTTTTATTCTTCTGTTAATGGAAACTCTTATATTTTAACCTTTTATTAATTTTTTCAGAAAAGTTTTCGAGCTAATTACATAAGAAACATAATTTGTTTTTCAATGATACTTGTACTTGCTTACAGTAGTTTGGTATTATTTTGATCTAAAAACTTAAAAAGTTAAAAACTGTACTGATCCAAGTCAGATAAAATTACTGTTGGTTGAAGGACTTAGTCTAAAATGTACAATTTTCATTTGTATTATGTTGACTAATTTTTCTGACTGTTTTTTAACAGTGTAATCTGTTTTCAAAATAATTAGTGGTTAGCTTTTTTATTTTTTATCATCAAACTATTGGCTAACAAACTGACAGAATCAGCATACATAAATATTTAATGTTTACACTTTTTCATTGAGTTTCAGAGGTTTTAGTAACAACTCGTAGTTTGCTTTAATGTATACCACTGTTTCCTGATTTTCATTGCAACTGTTATGCAACTCTTAAGTACTGGGGAAAAATACCCAAAGATATGATGTCTTTCTGCTAAGCTAAAACAGTAAATGTAACAATTTATGTTATATTAAAACTGTGAGATGTTTTGTTGAACACTTAGTGAATGATTACATTCTAAATTTTATTATGCAAGCAAATCTGACTTTTCAAGTTTCTATATGATAAATAAGGGCCAGGTTATCCAGTAGGCACAACAGGTGATTTTGCAAATGAACAAGCAATTAACCCATAAAATACTGGAAGTACTTGGCACTGCTATATATATTTTTTCTATCATTGTCAATTCAACTCCAAATGTATAGCATGTTGTTCAGTTAACTTTTATAATCAGGTACATTCTTCCTGAGTGCTCCCCATAGAAACAGTTTTTGATGTTTATTCCTAATCCTGTGCAAAAGTCTCAGCATTTGCTGACACAGTTATAGAAACCTTGAATACCTCTGAGATACATTTAAAATATTGCCACAAAAAAACTTGCAACAATACCAGTAGTGTGCCCAGTTAATATTTTGGTCTACAAGCTCAAATAAAAAAGTGCCAGTCCTAAGGCAGAGTACATACCTTGCCTTGCCCCTTTTCCTGAACCTTGTTTAATGAAACAAATAAAAAAAACTGCAATCAGTTGATATTCAACTTGATATGGTAATTAGGTTGGAAAGGTCATTAGAAAATTATGTTCAATCTTTCTGTGACAAATATGATTCTGATGAGGAAGGTGCCAACTGGTTATATTGAATATGTGATAGATTTAAGAAGAAAAAGAAAACAGCAATTTGATGAATCATAAACAGCTATAGAGTTAATAGGAAAACAACAATTCAAGGTTGAGACATTCATAACCTAATATTCCTCTTAAGGAAAATACGAGGAGCATGTAGAAAGACATATTTATCTGTATCATAAATATGAAGCAGTGTAGCTTTCAGTACATTGATCAGGTTTGTTCAAATTTAATTAAGGACCCAGATAATCTGGAAAGTTCTGTTTTTCTAGCTGAAGAATGCTCACATTTCCAAAAGCCCTTTCAATCAGCACCCAAGGAATGTACATCATCTTACTCTTTTGTTACTGAAATACTTGAGACAAATGGAACTTCTAGCAGTTTTCCCAAATCTACATTGCATTGCAGATATACCTCAGTAGAGCTTTAACAAATTACTCAGGGGAAAGATTTTTTCCCTGTGATAAGACAAAAAATTACCTCAGATCAAATATTTTACAAAGCACACTTAGTGCTCTCAGAATGTTAGCAATAGAATCAAATTTGTTAGAAAATTTAATTTTTTTGTGGTGTTATAAATTATTTAGCTCATGTTAAAGCATGAAAAGAATGTTTTTCAATGTGAACAGTCAAACATTTTAGGTTAACCCTGTGTACAGGGTGGGGGTCAAAGAGCACATACTGTGAATATTTAGAGACTAATGTTCAACATGATATTTATTTGATATCTGAATTATCAACTATTCATCTTGATCTACTTTGTTGATTTAGCAGTAGTTCACGGTTGAAGATTCCAGGTACCAGATACAATATAAAGGGATACTGAAAAAATTGTAATATGCATTTTGGAGGTTATGCAAATGCAACATACAAACATTATGATGAACAAAAATATTTTTATTCTTCACATGAACATCACTTTAAATTCTGACTTTTCAGAGTGCAAGTTGGACTTATGTCATCAATGCACTTATATTTCTTATGTGTAAGTACTTTTGTAACAAATCTGATTTGCACATTTGACCAGATGCTTGCCGCATATCTTAGATACGTGTAGTAAATTTGTAATTATAGTCAATGTTCCTTTTCAAAAATGTGGTCAGCTCATTGGACTAGTCATGTGCTCTTTTGGTTAACAGTTTAGTTTAAGGACACAGTTTAACTTTTAGGTTTGATTAGATTTTTCTTTTATGTGTATAAAATTTTGTTTCTCTCTCTGTTTTATCTGATTTGATATATAACATACATGTTCTATTCTTATGTTGTAATGTGACATTAAAAGCATTTGATATTATAACAGTTAAATTGAAGCAGTGGAAGTCGTGTTTTCATTATGGTTCTGTTCAAAATTTAGGGCACCCCAGTGGCTCAGCAGCAAGTCACGCACAGCTAAAAACTGGGTTTTGATACTTGTGGTAGGCACAGCACAAGTGCATGGCCTGGTGGTTAGGGCACTGTGTTTGAATTCCTAACACAAGTATGCTCACCCTTTTTAGCTCTAGGGGTGTTATAATGTGGCTGTCAACCATACTGTTCACTGAAGAAAAAGTAGCCCAAGGGTTGGTGGTAGGTCATGGAACAAAATATATAGGTTTGCAATTTGTAAATCAAATTTGAAATTGAAATAAATCTAAATTATCCTTTTTTCTATTTTTCTTTCTAGAATGACTTCAAATTGTAACATGAAACTACATTTGTTTATCATAAGTAGCTTTAAACTTGTAACAGTATACATCTATTTGTATTTACATTTTATTGTTTCATTGCCCTTTGAACCGTTCCTAACTACTAGTACTATTCATGCCATTATAAGTTGTAAATCACTTTGGTAATGTGTGGCTCATGTTACACTATTAAATTACATTACCCATGAGCTGCTCATGTGCATACCTCATGAAAATCTTTTATTACATTTTTATTTTCTATTTTACCCAATCATATTTTTACATTTTAGTTACATTTATAATGATAAATAAAGAATACACATGAAAAACAAGAAATAAAGTACTTATCTGGGCCCTTTGTTTTAACCCTACCTTTTTTATACTAATGGTATTAATATTGCCTTATAAAATTTATGAACTTAAAACTAATATACTGTTAAATTATGGATTATTAGCTACAATTTTGTGCTATGCTACTTGGTATAACATGAACAAACAAAAACTAGTTTAATTAAATTTTGAATGTAACTCACTAAAAACCTCGTGATGTAGAGTAAAGGATGCTCTTGGCAAGAAGGGTAATTACTGCTGAAAAGTCACTAGATATTTTCTTTTTCAAAATGCTTAGGTGACCATATTGTGATGAGAATGATGAGATCTCATCAAAAACAAGAAATAATCTAGATTAATTTGAAAACTGATTTGTGGCAACCTTGTTCAGTTGCAATATCTTCAAGTCATTTCTTTCTTTGGTTCATCGATTGTTGCATTATTTTGTGACAGCTGAGGTTTTGGTATTTTTTGCAGTATTGAAGCTTTACTTTATGTGCCACAAATTATTTTGTTTATGAAATGTCATGTATGGTACAATTAAATATTAAGGTTTGAACCTGAATATTAGTTTATTAGAATAAAAATGTACCATTTATCTCGTTTTCATTTGTGGATGTCTTTACAAAGAGATAAGACTTTTAATGCTGGATTTCGTTGCCATTATGTGTTAAAATGATTAATGTTAAAAAGATGCTAAGCAATATTTGTTAATTCCCAATCAAATTCAGTATTGATTGGCAGTTTCTGGCCATCAAATCCACCAAACTATTTTGTTTCTGGCTCGCTTTTTCAGCCATGAGGGTGTTATAATATGACTGTCAATCCTACTGTTCATTGAGGAAAGAGTAGCACAAGGGTTGGTGGTAGGTGGTGTTGGCTATTTGTCTTTCCTCTAGTATATCACTGCAAAATTAGAATAGTTTGGAGCAAAATTTAAAACAAACACAGCATAGATAACCTGTTTTGTAACTTTCAGTGTAACAACATATAAACAAACAAAACATTTGTACGATTTTATTTGAAACATCAACAATATACAATAATACAGAGGTGATTTTAAATTTTGAACCCTTGCATTTCTTACTTCATTTAACGGCAAGAATTGAAAATAGAAGTTTTGTAAGAGATCTGTTTGAGTTGTATGCATATGACTGTAAATTATCAGTCTAATGGTTCTTGCTTAGAGATGCAAAATTCCAAGAGGCCTAGCATGTCTAAATGCCATATTATGGGCATAACATAATGTTTTGGGACAACATAGGAGACCTATTGGTCCATCTCAGCTGTTTCATCCTCTAAACTAAAATAATTAAAAAAAAAATCCTAAAGCCAGCCCTTATCATTCATATACTTATCAAGCTTTTTCTTAAACTCACTTAAATTTACTGCTGGATAAATACATATATGTATTTCTATATTATAGGACAGAAAGAGAAAAAAAAAATTCATGATAATACTAAAAATTTCTGCTTAGCGATTGCTGAGGCATGGTAATGAAATAGTGGGAAAAAAAAACCTTTAGTGGATAGTCTACCTAGCAGCATCATATATGCAAAAGACAATAATTTATCATCTCATGTTTGCCTTTCTAAAGTTAGATTTTTCCAGGTTCATAAAATCAACATTGAGACTTGGTTGTACAAGCAAAGTACCAGTTTTAGTTTCTCATGATGAAACCAAATTGCCAATTGTAAATGATTTAGTAAATTTTATGAAATATAATTCTTTCTGTAGTACTTTTTAAACAAGCATGCTAAACGGTGGTTTATTAATATGTTCTAGACTAGAAAAGACCTTCATACAACATGTAGGAAAGGAAGGAGCCATTCAGGCCTTAGGAGCAAGGAAAACAAAAGAAAACTGCTGGCACCATGGTATGAAATATTGATCTTTACTTCCTTTTATAAATTTTATGTTTGTCAGTGCATGTTTCTTTCATAACTTTGTGAATCTTGAAATCCTGTTAACTTGAAAAAAGGAAGTTCTTGTACCAATGAAGAGAAGTCAACCAATGAAGTTTAAGTGGTTCTACTGAGTTATCAGTTAGCCTAGTTTTATTGTTCCTTACTAGGTATGAACCTTAATTTTTGAAGGTACTAACAAATGGTTGCTAGTTATTTTTTCTAACAAGCAAATTTGGGACTGTTACTAACAACAACATTCTTCTCTAAGATTAACTGTAATTCTGTCAGTTATTTCCTATATTAAATGTTAGTATACCTTGTGTATATATATATATATATAATACTATGAAATACATTAATTGTCCACAGATAATTGAAATCTATACTATAAAACAATAATGAACTTAATACAAAACAAAAACAACATTATAATGAGACTATTTTAATTATATGTAACAGTGCTGTTATATTAATTATTTCGCAACAGATAAAAGATGCTGCATTTGGGCAGAGATTGGTATATCTAGTCTGCAAATATGCCAATGCTAAAGCTACTATATATTTAGGAAAGCCTTCTATTATTAAAAGTAAGTTTAAACTATAAAAGCCAATATTCCCTAACATTTGTGTTAACCATGGATAAATTAAGAATAATGTTACAAAAAATATGCAGTTTGTGATTTCTGTTATATTATTACCTCTAATGAGCAACTACTTGTGCACAGCAGTTGCAGCCACACTTCAGCAAAACTGCAGTGCAGACACCAGAAGGTGTAAAACTGGCTGGTTGGTCTAGATACTAATTGACTTGGCAGTTAATCAAATATGTTGAAACTACAGTCTTGCTATCCCCATTTCCTGATGCTTAGCTTGGATATGCCATGTAGCTCAAATAGAAATCACAAATCCAGCATGACACTGGCAAGTGTAATAGCCGTGTTAATTACAATTATAGTAACTTTCTGTACTCAGAATCTTGCAATATGACTTACAGAAATATCTGCAACATAGGTGTATATGACATTCAACAATATGAATCTGCAAATACTCCTGATGAAACCTGTACTAGCAATTTTTTTTAGTGACTAATAAGTTTAACTAGCAAAACTTCAACACTAATTACCATTTTGCTAGCATTAACTTAGTTTTGAGTTACCAGAAACAAGCAGGTGTACTACATTTATGTGTTTCATATTATATTTGTGCAATGACACTTTACACTTTTCCTACTTGTTAGTACTAGCTATGTTGGCTATGCCAGTAGAGATTCTGTTTTTAAGAATGTTTTCTATATTTTAGATAGCAGGTGTAACAATTTTTTTAACCATTACATATTTCCATAGTTGAGTTTTGCTGGTTTTGTGAGCTCTGATTTCATATTTGGTTGAATCCTTTTTTTGCTAACATTAAAAATTATGCAAGGAATGGATTAAATACTTTGAGAATAATACAATCATTTTTGTAACGATCATTAATAGAGTGACTTGCATCTATTTTAACCCTCAGGTTTGTATACTGACTAGAAGTGTGGAGGGTCCATATATTGCATCAGTTTCAGTAATGTTCTGTTTTTCCTTTTGCAACACTAAAGAAACTATATATACAAAATGGGAGAAATCATTAATTTTCTATATAACATGTATAGGAAATTCCAGCAGTAATTCATGGGATTAATTGCAGTATGATAGCCTTTTTATGTGCAACTCATGTTAGTAGGGATCATATAATCAACAAACAATTTGGTGTCCAAGTAGTTTTTTGGTTTATTTAAAACTAACTGGATTCATATAGACCTCAGTGGTATTCTAAGTTTAAAAACTGGCTAGAAACATCTTCCTACATGCTTTCTAATGCTTAAATTTTATTTATAAATACTTTAAGATGCTTCTGAAAACTGAAAATCACTTTTGTGCATAAACTGATATCTAAATAAACATCTAATTTAGAAAGTGCTTATTTTTTAATTCTAAGTAATAATTCCTGGTGTATTTTCAAACTTTAAATTTTGTATATAGTTAATATATTAGATATTGTTTCTTAAGAGTAAGAAAACACATTATACAAAGTTTTAACACATTAAAGTCTGATATTTACAAGATGTATTGGGTTCTTTGCTAGAGCAGTATAAATATGTACTATGTAGCATGTATATTGTGCTATAAAGGATGTCCAAATTTACATTTTTAACCTTGCTGTGTTTAAAAAAAACTTAAAAATAATGTTAGTTAATAATCTTTTATTTCTGAATGTTTTACAACCAGCTTTACCTTATATACATTTTATTGATTTCTCTTTCTGGAGTGTCTTTTTTTTTTATTCTGTACTTCACTAGACATTTTGTTAAAAACATTATATATATATATATATATATATATATATATA